TTTCTGTGAGACTTGCACAAATCTGCATTAAAAACATTATAATGTCAAACGGGCTGATGTGGCTCTAGAGACGTTATGATGAGTCGGTTGTAAAATTGAGTTTATTTCTGCAGATTAGTAACAATGATACTTATATTTTTATTATATAAAATAACATTTATTATATAAAAACATGAATGATTAATTGAAAATCGATCGTTAATTCTCCCGACGATCAATTTATAAAATTTTATCAAATGCCCATCCCTAGTTAACATATATTACAATTATTACACTTATTATTGATCCAATTGTGTTCTGCAGTTGTATTTTTCCTGCTAATAACTACTGACCAAGTTAAATATTAAGAGTCGTTCTAGGTCTAAATATTCTCATTTACATCAGCTGAATTGATATCATGAAACCGATACTCGTCCAGATGATTTTCATAGATCAGTGGTGATATTTGATAAAGCTGACTGTGACGGCTCTGACCGACCGAGTATCAGGCTGTATACTCTGGGTGGTGAGGTCATCACACTGGTCAGCACAGATGAGTGCTACATGCAGACTGATGAAATGAAAAGAGAAAAGAGGACATATGTTGTTTCTTGTGCTGTCACTCTGAGGAGCTCTGGTGTTCACGGTGACAGAGACTGACACAAACAGACACAGAGACCGAGATTCTGAACTATCAGACTCTGCACATCTCAGCTCATCTTTGGTGCTACAAAGTTCAGTCTTTTCCCCTGTCTGACTGTGACACCTACGACAGCCTGGTTTGAGCTACAACACGAGATCACCTCCTTCAGGAATGTTTCATCACAGACGGACAAAATCTTGCAGTCGACATCTGCTTTATGGTAAATGGTCACCTTTTTATACAGCATTTTTCCACCTACAAGGCTCCAAGCACTTTTACATGAAGGACTCACTCACCAAGCCACACAACAATCCACACTCACCAGAGTACGCAGACACTGGGGCCAAGGTGGGTTAAGTGTCTTGCCTCTGGACACCACGGAAGCGTTCATGTGTGGGCGCTGGAAACACCCAAACTGAGCTACTGTCGCTTCAAGGTTTTGACCTAAATGAATTGATTATTCTCATAGATCAGGGGTGTCAAACTCATTTTGGTCCGGGGGCCGTATCCAACCAACTTTGATCCCAAAGGAGCCGGGTCAGAAAACTCATGTCATATAAACCCCAAAAATAACAATAAGTTCAAATATTTGTGCAGAGAAACACAAATCTATTATAGAAATCTTTTTTAATTGAACTCTTTCTTTTACAAAATATTATAATATTATGAACAACCTGAAACTTTAAGAAAAATGCAGTTTCAACACAAGTTTTAACATGAACTTGTGCAAATAGGAATAAGTCCATTTTTGTTGTAAAATCCTGGCTCCACTTTTTTCATGTTGGACATTTTGTTGATGAGTGTGTCACGGTCAACAGTCAAAACGATCGTCCTTTAAGAGCGTTTGGAAAGAGACAAGTCTTTATTTGTGCTGCTCTGGTGGGAGGGGCCACGTACAGAGGCACTGGACACGTTGCTGTGATAAAATTAACAAGATTTTAATAGAAAATATCATTAAAATATTTTTGTAGAAAATCAGCCGAGGGCCAAATTAAAGGTCTTGGAGGGCCGGATCTGGCCCCTGGGCCATATGTTTGACACACGTGTCATAGAGGATGAAACAAATTAATCCTGTTGGTTGTCACATTGTCCCTCTGGTGATTGAACCCAGGACCTTGTTGAGGTGAGGAACAGTGCTGACCACTGTGCCACTCGGCTCTGTACACTCACTACGTTTATGTCAGGCTTTTACATCAACAAAACTGTGTTGGGACTTAAAGTGCGTTTGTCAGATTATTCCCCAGTTTGGTGGATTGTACCCAGGGTAAATATCCATCATAGTTTCACATCCGTCATGTGGCAGTTTGGAAGGAAACAAAACGCTGTAAAATATAGAAAATAGCAGTGAGTTCTAAAACAGAATCCCTCTGTTTGTGTCATCAACTGTCATCTACTCCATCTAAAATACAGAGCCAATTTACACATGGAGGATATTTTTCTGACATATATAAAACTGATTTAAGCAACACAGTTTCAGGAATCTGTGATCAATACGTTCATGGTCCTGTTTAAGAGCTTGATTTTCAATAATAAAAAGATGAGTGTGAGTAAGTGAAAAGCTGTTGGATAATGCTAGCTTCAGGGACATGCACAGATGGGGAACAGGAGGTGCTCCAGGCCCCTGTCCCTTTGATTTGAGTGTCCTTGTAGTTACATACGTTTAGGTTTCATATTTTGCCCTGTAAAGACAGTAGAGTGTAAAAATTGTTTTAAACACTCAGCAACAAAAGGATTTTCACAGTTAAACGGTTAAACACAAGATCACTGTTTGTAGCATGGAAGTTCTTGACAACTCTGCCATAAAAGTATCTCCTTAACACCTGAATTTATATAGGTGTATTTAACAAAATGATTTGTGTTTATTGTAGCCTTTATGTTGATAGTAAATTAAGTTGAGATTATTCATTTGACTATAGCAAAAATAAATAAATACATAAAAATTAAAATTAAATAAATAAAGAGAAATGTAGGTTCTATGAAGGTCCTGCAGCTGCACTAACCTGCACTGAGGGAATGCAGCCACTGTCTTGGCTTATATCTTGATCCAAACAGTTCGGCGCATATTTGTGACAGTCGGCGTTAAGGGGTTTAAGACCAGTTATTATAGTGTAACAAACAAGAAAATCTTGTAGAGAAGGAGACAACAACCATGGGCTTATGTCCCATTGATCTGCATCAGACTGTTAAAATCATTAAAATCATTAAAGTCTATCATGGGTAACAGAGCTTCAGACAGAGCAGTGCCTACAGTTAGCATCACACCCTCAGGGAATGTTGATGGCATCAGCCTCAGAGTATGAGTGTGACTAGAGCTGGTGTCACGGAGCGTGATGTGAGATGTTTTGGTGCTTTGGGAGCAGCAGAGGCGTGATTCCAGGGAAATGAAGTCTGCAGTGGAGCGTTTAACAGGCTCCTCTTGGTAAAAGCTCTTTTTTTATTGGACCTGCTGGAGAGAAAAGCAGCGTCCCTGTGAGACCTGCACGAGCCCAGCCTCTGTGCTCAAATGAACGAGGTCAGAGAGTGCAGCGGTGGCGCTGTGCGCTCTGGCCTCTGCTAAAGTCTTCTGACAGCGCCGGACTGTGGGTGTGCGCTGGGGTTTAGCACAATGCGAGGACTCACATAGACAGAAGAGTTGTGTTGTGTTGTTTTATGTTGTGTTCTGTTGTGTTGTGTGGTCTGCAGGATTTGGTTTCAGAATTTCAGATGAAGGGCAGGGACGATACAACACATGCACTGTTTGTGAAAGAAATATTCAAACTTCCATCCTTCCATTTTTTTTCCACTTATCCGGCTCCGGGTCATGGAGGCAGTAGTCTGATCAGTCTTCCAAACTTTCCTCACCCCAGACACTTCCTCCATCTCCTCTGGCAGGACCCTAAGGTGTTCCAGAGACACAGTCACTCCAGTGTGTCCTGGGTCTTCCACGGGTCATGAACACTTCTCCAGGAGGCATCTGAAACAGCTCCTCTCCACGTGGAGGAAACACTGTATCTGTGTGTCCTTTCAGTCATTACCCAAAGCTCATGGCCACTGGTGAGCGCAGACTGAAACTCTGAACCTTATTATTTGCTCCACAAACTTGCCATATTGATGCTGTTGTCTTAAACTGCAAATTCCACCTCAGTTTGAAAACTAAAGGGACTTTGAGGTGTAAAGCCAATCCCTAATAATGAGGTTTAACATTTGTAGATTATAAGTATTCATTAAAGACACCGTGTTATGCAAAATCTATTTTTTGGAGCTTTCTCCCATGGTATAACTTTGTTCCCTCATCAAAAACAAGAGGTTTTAGATGTTTTAGATCCATGCACATTTGAGGGCCCTGTTCAAACCCTCTTTACACTTAACTGTAAGATTCTGTGCAATACTCAACCCAAAAGCTTACACCACATAAGTGCACACAACAATGTCACAAACCTGGACACAATCTGAGTTTCAGGAGCACACTGTTTGTGTTGAGATGTCACTCTATAAACAAGCTCTAAAAACACTTGACAAAAAACACTACAGATACCACCATTGTCACATTTTGCAGAAATACAAATTAATGACCTGGGACAATCTTATTAAATTTAAAAATATCTGTCTAATGTACAAGATTAAACATGGCTCGGCTGCCTCTTCGCTGAATGACTTTGTAAATTTCAGATCTAGTGAGGGCAGAGTGACGAGAGGAGCAGTGAGGGAAGACTGCATTATTCCTCCTAGAAAAACTGGATTTGGTCAGTGTGTTTTCTCTTTCGTCAGATCGTCCTGTCAGTGGAACTCTGTGCCCGAAGCCGTCAGAACATCTCCCTCATTCTCTGCTTTTAAAAAGAATGTGAAAAAGTGGCTTTTAGAAATCCAAATGTGTGAACACTAAAACTTTTATTGTATTTTTGGAATCTTATTGTACATTTGCGTAATTTTTGATGTATAACTTTTAAGTGTATTTTCTTTTCGGATGCCTTTTTGACATCTGGCAAAGGGACTACCGATGCAAATGAGCTCTTATCAGCAAACTCGGGCACATTTACATTGTTTTGATGTTGATTAATGTGCATTGTCCCTTTTCAAATAAATAAATAAATAAATAAATGAAGGAGGAGGGACTTGTGGGGAGCAAAGGAAGGGGAGACTGAGAGTCAAAAACAAAACTGAAACTTAGGAAACTTAGTGACTGTAGCATTTTCAAAACAATATATGGTAAACACAAACATGCTGATCTAAATATGTTATATGCTACATGAAATACCAAAACACAAGTAAAATACTTTAAATCAATAACAGAAGAGATGTGTTCAGACAGATGAAGGTTTAAGTCAATGTGACGTTCCCATAGAACATGTAAACCTAGTGTGTGACGGTGTGTATGTCGGTGTGTGTGTGTTGTGTGCAGGATGCCCCGCCTGCTCTGGACATGAACCTGTACTGGCACTTTGCCCGCGGCCTGGGGGAGCCGGTGTACATGCCCGTGGAGTCGTGGGCCAGTCTGAGTGCCACCCTCCTCGAGGCACTGGACGGGTACAACGAGGTGAACGCTGCTCTGAGCCTGGTGCTGTTCGAGGACGCCATGGCTCACATGTGAGTGACACACACACACACTCACACACACACACACACACACACACACACAGGCTAAACTACTGCAGTGGTACTGGTGAATACTGTGGATGTCCTGATGTATTTTAAAGAGTGGTTATTATTATGAGTATTATTTTAGTCGACTCTTGTATATTACATTAAACATTAAACATTAAACATTAAACATGCACATTAAACAGCATTTACAGTTCAAATGCTGCATAATCCACATGTGTGGAGTGTCTCAGGATCAAGGAAGGGTCCATAGAGACACTGGATTCTGTCAGCAGATACATATATGATAAAACGGATAGATAGATAGAACGATAGATAGAATGATAGAACAACAGATAGACAGAACGATAGAATGATAGAACGATAGATAGATAGAACAATAAAATGATAAAACGAACGAACAATAGATAGATAGATAGAAAGAACGATAGGTAGATAGAACGATAGATAGATAAAACAATAGAGAGATAGAACAATAGAACGATAAAACGATAGATAGATAGATAGATAGAACGATAGATAGAACAATAGAACGATAGATAGATAGATAGAATGATAGATAGATAGAAAGATAGATAGATAGATAGATAAATAGATCGATAAATAAATAGATAGATAGATAAATAGATAGATAGAACAATAGAACGATAGATAGATAGATAGATAGATAAATAGATCGATAAATAAATAGATAGATAGATAGATAAATAGATAGATAGATAGATAGTTAGTTAGTTAGTTAATTAGTTAGTTAGTTAGATAGAGTTAGTTCCCATGGCCAGGGAAATCCTGAAAAAGTCATGGAAATTGAAAATGTAATTTTACAGGAATTTGAGTATCTCTGTCACGCAACTACAACATTAGGCTATTAGGCTACTCTGATTATTTCTGAATGTCTGCATCTTTTGTTTAAAAGAGAATGTTCAAAAACTATAATCCCAAACCATAAGGTGAGTAGAAGTAGAGTTCACATTTTATATTTAGCCCTAAAAGTCTGATCAGTTCTACATGTAGGTGCTGTAAAGTCATGGGAAATTCACTTTAGTCATGAAAAAGTGATGGAAAAGTTTTGAAATTTTGTCAGTGAAAAAGAATAGGAACCGTGATAGACAGATGGATTGATAGATCAATAGATCGATAGATAGATGGACAGACAGACAGACTGATTGATTTAATTTTTATTGACCTTTATTTAACCAGGATAGTTCTGCTGAGATTTCAGGGGGATTCTTTTTCAGGGGAGTCCTGGCCCCACAGGTGACCCCTACTGTACTTTTTTTTTTTTTTGTGATAGGAGAAACCAGAGCACCAGGAGGAAACCTATGCAGGTACAGGGAGAACATGCAAACTCCACGCAGACAGACAGATAAATGTCAGACAGATGATAGATGGGTTTATACTGTATGCACATGACAGACAAACAGAAAGACCAACAGACAGATACTGACTGAACTGCTAAATGCTCGTGATGTACTTTTTTAAATATTGCTTATTTATTATGGTTTTGATTTCTCTTAATCACTGGGCCTCGAGGAACACATTTTGTTCTGTCTTGTGTTTTTCTTGCATGCTTGAATGACAAATAAAGAACCTTGAACCTTAAGATATAGAGATGATAGACAGACACAGAGCTTTTTACTTTATTTTTACGTTTGGCAGCAGTACTACATTTTTGCCATGTAACTGTACTTTGACTTCTGCACACATTTTCAGTCGTCTTTCCATCACTGGGTTCAGCCTGTCAAAGCCAAGAACAGACTCAGCTAACAGTATGCACGTCTCTCTCTAGTCGAACGCAGAGAAGGCCTTGAGAAATGTCATATTACCAAAACCACAAACGCACTATTGTTGCTAGTTTTGGACAATGAAATAAATCTCTAAACTGAGCACATAAGCCCTGTCGCTGGCCCTGCCCCTTCTCTTTGCTGTCTGTCCCTGTGCAGGTATTTGAGGATTAGCGCTTCCATTTTGCACAGTGTCACACACAGACAGACAAATAAACCTAAACCCCAGCACACGTCCTGACTGCTAAACACCTCACTCTGCTTCTATCACTGTGGACATTTAACATTCTAACTATACAGACAGACACTGCAGTAACCTGGCAAATAGTCACACTTTTATTCAGCGCTTTTCCACCTTCAAGACATCACCCATTCACACACACATTTATTAAGGGTGGGACGAGACACACCGTGAGATCAGGTCAACGAGAACGAGACAAGACAAGATTTAGACAAAATTTGTCATAAATAAGAAGTGCAATCCATTTCACAATTATGGCTTCATGATTTTATTTTATTTTATGTATTACTATTTTAGCGTTCAGTGTACTTTTTAGAACTATAACTTCTCAAATTGTGTATAGAATCTAGTGTTGTAGTCAAGACAGCATTAATCGAGACCAAGACCAGTTCGAGACCACAGAGTCCCGAGACCAGGACAAGACCAAGACCTCTGAGAGTCAAGACTGAGACAAGACCAAGACCTCTGAGAGTCAAGACTGAGACAAGACCGAGACCTCTGAGAGTCAAGACTGAGACAAGACCGAGACCTCTGAGAGTCAAGACTGAGACAAGACCAAGACCTCTGAGAGTCAAGACTGAGACAAGACCGAGACCTCTGAGAGTCAAGACTGAAGACAAGACCGAGACCTCTGAGAGTCAAGACTGAGACAAGACCGAGACCTCTGAGAGTCAAGACTGAAACAAGACCAAGACCTCTGAGAGTCAAGACTGAGACAAGACCAAGACCTCTTAGGGTTGCAACTGAGACAAGACCGAGACCAGGGCCCATCAAGACCAAATCAAGACCAGCTTTGTAATTTTTGACATTTATTTATATACTTATTTTGGCACATATGTATCAATGTTTTTTAAAATCTTATCACTCGTCAATTGTCAGACCCACAGACTGTAGAATCCCTCAGTCGTCCAGGGAGGATCCAAGACAAAAGGAGATATTCGATTTGCCAACTGGACAAAAGTTTATTTGGTCAAATACTTTTCGCTGTTCATCCAAGCTGCTTCTTCAGTTCTGGTCAGACGCTGGTCAGATACTTCCTTATATCTGCCTGCAGGGAGGAGCTAACTACACTGAAACTACTCTCAAACTAACACACCTACTTGTTTACAGTTTATGTTAGTTAGCTAGGCCTAGGTATTGGTCCTTGTGTGTGGGCTTCCTCAAGACCTCTACCTGGAGTCGTCGGTCTTCTTCTGTCATTACTGCACAATCTAAAAAAGCCAATGTGTTCTTCTTGGCATCTTCTCGACTGAATTTGATGTTCAGATCTACAGCATTAATATGTGCAGTAAAAGGTTCCAAATCTTGAATTTTGATTTTAGATCTTGAATCTTGAATTTTGATTTTTATCATCCACAGTCCAGAGGTGTGAAAGCTCCATTATGGCCCTGACTGACTCTGCTGATATGACCCCACACTCAAGTTCAACAGGCCGAGCACAGAAAGTGTAAACAAGTAGGGCGTTATTTTCAACCAAAATAAACTTTTGTCCAGTTGATGGAATTTCTCCTTTTGCCTGTTTCTCTATTTTTATAATTTACCAGCTATTAACTCTTTTTTAGTCTAAGCCTAAGGTAGTCTCAGGTCGTCTAAGGTAGATTCAGGGGAAAAATCTCACAAGAACATTTTTTCTCATGTGTGCAAAATCGTGTGGCAATTTTGTCTCTTGAGATCTTGTCCCATCCCTAAAATTTAGACATGCATAAACCAGTGTGCACAGACACATGAGAGGGGTTAAATGTCTTGCCCAAGGACACAATGACAGCATTCATTTGTGGTAGCTGGAATTGCAGTGCCTGTGTGAGTGTGTTAAAGGTCCTATATTACACCAAATCGACTCCTGTGAGCTTTAAGCCATATTATAATGTTGTTCCGTCCTCAAAAACAGAGCTGGAGTTGTGTTTTGTTTCATTCACACATGTTTGAGTAAAACTTTATTATTGTCTCTATCTGCAAAACTCACATGCTCTGTTCCATCCATAGACTGTATAAAGACGTGGACTAAGTGAGTGTGACACTACACAGAGAGATTATCTCAAGTCAAATAAAGCTCACTGAGGTCTGCAATTACAGGGGCAAATTTGGAGCCAGGCTCCATATTAGGAATATAAAGTAAACTGACAAAATAGTGAAATAAAAACACCAGGATCATGTAGAGGGGGTCAAAACGAACATTTTAAGACCAAAATGATGAGGGAGAGAGAGGAGCCACAATAATCCAGTGTAAGTCAATGGGAGACAGAGAAGTGTCGGCATGTGAACTTTGTATTTGGAACGCGGTGGCTAGTGCCTTGGCTGTGTCCATACACAGGTCCATTTATATATATACAGTCTATGGTTCCACTTTGTGATGACATGAAGTAGTAGTTTTTAAGTTAAGCTGCCATTTATCTTTAGTTCAGTAGAGATTGGCAAATCCAGCACTGAAATCACCCAAATGATTCTAGTAATCACATTTTTATACATCACTTTTCCTCCTTCAAGGCTCAGAGCTTTCTCAAGGAACCACTCAATCAAGAGGGATTCAAACCAACAACCTTCGGCTCAGGGTATAAACGCTCTTACTAACTGAGCAACTGTTGCCCAGTAGTGCACCTGTATGGAGTTACAAACCACATTGGAGCACTTCCTGTATCACCTCATGACATCACAAGGTGTCCACCTTGAACAAAAGCACCAGAAACAAAATACAATGTGAGGTATGTTTTAATGAGGAAACAACATTATCAGTGGGACCTGCTAAATAAATTAAGGTCAAATAAAAATAATACATATATAAGATAAATCAGAAAGTAGTGTAATATGGATGTTTTAAAGCCTAAGCAGCAGAAAGAGCCACTTAACTAAATGTGCAGTGATGTTAGAAACAGCAGGCTGATGTGAGGGGAGTTTGGGCTATTATCACTTCATTTAGACCACACGGCCTAAGTGCTGAGCCACTTTACTCCAGAGCAGAGCTGCGTAATCCTGAATGGACTTGCAAATATTAGGGCAGTAATACAATACTGTAATGGGCTGTTTACTTAGAGAGGGGGTCCAAGATTCAGACAAATGAAAACAACAGAGAGCTGCTGTGACTTTGACGACATTTAGGCAGAGTTCACTTAGTTTTGTTTCCTTTACTATATTACAATCAATCGTTGTCTCTTTAGTTTGTCCCTGCAGTTTAAGCAGTAAATACAATAATAATAGAAAACTCAAACAAGAGTCTCAGTGCAGCACAACAGGTAGAGAGAGAGAGTTTGAGGAGAGTAACAGTCCTCAGGACAAAAGTGTCCCTCCTTTGTGTCCTCTCTGTCCTGCAGCATCACAGCAGCCTCCAGGGGGAGCAGGTGAGCTCTGGACACACAAGAGGAACGCCTCTTTCTCTCTCTGTGTCGGTGATGAGACGGGACATTCCCTGGATTGGAACGTGGTGGTGACATTGTTTCCACATCAAAAACATGCCTGAACAAGTTTCAGATGTCCTCCATGTATGTTTCAGTATGTAGTGGTCTCTCCTGGACCCTGTTCAAACCCTCCTTACGGTCAGCAGTACAACTCTGTGCAATGTGTGTAAAATCCCTCAGTCATCCAGGTAGACTCCATCGCAAAAGGAGAAATTCAATTTGCCAACTAAACAAAAGTTTGCATGAAATGTTAGTTTCATTCATTCATTCATTTCTTTGTTTGAGCCAGGTACAACAAAATTCAAAAACAATAACAAAAATAGTGATTTATACATGACATATTTGGGACCTGGTGCTCAAAAGGAGTAGGATGAAGTTTAAAAAACTTATGGAGTCCTACCCCAATTGTTTTACATAATCACTTGGTTCACTTTTTATTTTATTTTTTTATCACCTTTGGAGTGCAAAAAAATATATACCCAAATATATTCAAAAACATATCCACATATACTTACATACATATGCAAGTACACACACTTGTACACACATATGTACATACAAACATACATATACACATCATAGATCTCCAGTACATATACTCAATATAAATGTATATACATATGCATATCAACATATACATACATGCAGAAACATATTTCTGTTTGTAGTCATACAAACTAATAATAATATTAATCCAGGCACCAAGTTTATTGTTTATGATCGTATAAAATAAACAGCAATGAGAATGAAAAATTTGGGGATTTTTTGTTTTCGTTTATGGTCGTACAAACTAATAGTATTACTGATGAAGGCTCAAAAGTTTATCGTTTATGATTGTACAAAACAAACAGTAATAAGAATAAAAAATTTAGAATTTTGTTTTCATTTATGGTCGTAGAAGCTAAGAATAGTAATAAAGAAGGCACAAAGTTTATCGTTTATAGTCATACAAATAAACAGTAATGAGAATGAAAAATTTAAGGATTTTTTCATTTTTGTTTATGGTCATGCAAACTATTAATATTACTGAAAAAGACACAAAAGTTTATTGTTTATGATCGTACAAATAAACAGTAATGAGAATGAAATTTTAGGGATTTTTTGTTTTCGTTTATGATCATACAAAATGAACAGTAATAAGAATGAAAAATTTAAGCATTTTTGTTTTCGTTTAGTTTCAGAGTCATGTCAGTGTAGTTAGCTCTTCCCTGCAGACAGATATAAAGAAGTGTCCACCAGCGTCTGACCAGAACTGAAGAAGCAGCTTGGACGAGCTGTGAAACATATTTGACCAAATAATTTTTTGTCCAGCTGACAAATTGAAATTCTCCTTTTGCCAACTCTGTGCAATGCTCCACCCACAAGCCTACTCCTGCCCCTGCACTTGGAGCCGTGTTGAGCAGTGCTCTGTGCAGTTTTCAGATCATTAGACATGTGCTATCACATGAAGTCATGTGAAACTGCTTTGGTCAAATACTCATAACCACAGTCTGTGATGTCAACATTTAGTTAATGTAGAGGTCATAGACTGTGGGATGTTGTTTACAAAAGAACCAAGTTACTGTGACATCACCCACAGCAGGAAGTTGCAACCAAATGAAGCTTATTGAAGGTAGCAGTTATAACTACAATCTGCAAACAGAGCCCATATTTGGAAGAGCCAATCAGGAGTGAGGCTGTTGAAGGTAACGCCCCCGTGTTGCGGGTGGGACGGGGTGTGTAGTGTGATGTGCAGCTATCCATAGGAGGTACAGACAATTTCATGACTCTTTGTTGTGATCACGTTTACCTTTCTTTTATTAAACTGTTCAGTATTCAATACAATAAGATCAATATTGTGATTTAGAATGTGCAAATGATAACCTGATGATCCACGGGTGTCACAGATTATAACTCTACAGCAGACACAAGCACAACGTGTCTTCTTTAAATGAGTAACTCATTTCAGTATTAGTTTTAGTATCAATTAGTCTTTGATTCTCCATACTTGTGACAACTCTCTCAAGTCTAGTTAGACACTTTGAATGCTCCTTTAATAAAATCAGATCTTAGCTCCTCTTCTTTTCGTCTTGCTCCTGCCCCCATATCAAAGCCTGTCTGAGAGCCAGTTGACAGTGTTGTTGTTGTGACTCAGCTCTGGTCCCTGTCCTCCTCACACCTCTCCTCCTCTGCCCACCTCCACAGCTGCCGCATCAGCCGGATCCTGGAGTGCCCCCGGGGGAGCGCCCTGCTGGTGGGCGTGGGCGGCAGCGGTAAGCAGAGCCTCACCCGGCTGGCAGCGTTCGTCTCGGGCTTGGAGGTGTTCCAGATCACCCTGAGGAAAGGCTACGGCATCAGTGACCTGAAGGTAGCACAGACTCCCTCCTCCACACGCAGACTCACCCACAGACAACAAACAAAGTGCAGGTTCACAGGGACCAGAGGGAGGTGGTCATGTAGAAGCAGAGCGGCCACTTTACAGACACACAAAGGACAAAGGAAATATCCACATAAGACATACAGTACTGTGCTGGCAACAGGGACGCTCCGATACAGCCTTTTCAGCTCCGACACCGATACCGATACTTTGGCTTAGTGTCTGCCAGTACCAGATATTAACCAGTATCAATCTTGTTGGCAACGTACAATATTAAAATGTTTATTAAACTCTTAAAGGCACAGAAACTGATTTTTACTGACAAACACAAGTTCATTTTAAACAGTTTGTGCTTCCTCACTTACTTAAGCATTCAGATCATCTTAATTATTCAGTGTGAGTTCAGATGTGTTTCTCACAACTTTCAGAGGCCAGAGTGTAGTATGTCCTCACAGCTAGCATGCTAACAGTCAGTGTTGGGAAGGTTACTTTTCAAATGTATTCCCCTACAGATTACAGATTACACATGCCAAAATGTAGTTTGTAATGTAATCCATTAAATTACTTAAAGTGAGTAACATAATCTGAATACTTTATTTTACTTAATTTGCTGTAGAGAAGCAAAGACGAGGAAAGTGTAACATAAGATGTTTTGTCTGATAAAAGAAAATGAAAGGGCCGAGTCTTTACTCAACTGGATTAAAAATATTATTGATAGAAAAAGAGGAGACATGGTCTGCGCAGCATGGTTTAGTCCTGTTAAATCCTGGTTTAGACCTGGTTTAGACCTGGTTTAGTCCTGTTTTAGACCTGGTTTAGACCTGGTTTAGACCTGGTTTAGTCCTGATTTAGACCTGGTTTAGTCCTGGTTTAGTCCTGATTTAGACCTGGTTTAGACCTGGTTTAGTCCTGGTTTAGACCTGGTTTAGACCTGGTTTAGACCTGGTTTAGTCCTGATTTAGACCTGGTTTAGACCTGGTTTAGACCTGGTTTAGTCCTGATTTAGACCTGGTTTAGACCTGGTTTAGTCCTGGTTTAGACCTGGTTTAGACCTCGTTTAGTGTCCGGCAATGAGTGGAATTACGGAGGAAAAAAAAAAGGGGGGGGGGGGATATAGCCTAGGGGTGGGCGATATCTCCATAGTTTAAATATATCGAGATAGTTTTTAAACTCGATATGAATTCTGACATATCGTATATATTGATATAATGCTTATATTTAATTTTAATTTCGCTGCTTCGCTTGTTTACCTTCTCTGTCGTCGCCTCCGCCTCCCTGATTTTGTTCGCTCGTGTCTCCTTCACTCGTCACTACCACCCCGTGAACACCGAAAGTTGGTGCCAGTGAAAAGCTTCAAAGCACCACAAACCTTTTCCACCATTTACAGACAAAACCATCAGCAGCACATCTCATATTCCACCGAGTCGCGTCCTTTAGCCCGAAAGAAGCTGAACGAGCTGAGCTGCATGAGAAGTGCTCTGTTTATGCAAATGAGACATGAGCTTAAGTTTCGTTTCTGTAAAACGTAAAAACACGTGCGCAAAACTACATTAAACACATTATTATCTCAAACGGGCTGATGTGGCTCTATAGTCGTTATGCTTTATATATTGTAAAGTTTAGTAATGTAAAGTTTATTTATGTAGAAGATTTTAATCAATAATCTGCTGCAGTGTCACTTGTACAATAGTGTTTGGAAATGTTGGGTTTGATCTGCAATGGATTGTGGGAAACCTCATACTGCTGGATAGGAACATGGATCTATTAAAATAAGGAACATCCTGAGCTTCTTCTGCTAAAGGAACTCAAGGTTATGGTTATGATTATGGGATGGTTAACAGAGTTAATGCAAAGATGAGCTTGTCTTGAGTTGTTTTATTTATGAATGAAAAGAAGGAAATATGTTATATTTCTTTTATTTTACAGTTAAATTATTATTTATATAATTAGGTTTTTTTTTATAACTATACAAATAAACTTGCCTTGCCTTGCCTTAAATGTTCCTATATGAGCTGCCAACCTCTTACACTACACAAAAAAAAAGACCTTGTGGAATTTGGCATATTTGTTTTTGCAGTTTTCAGTTTTAGGGGGTTATTTTTTCTTGAACATATATCGAGATATATATCGTATATCGACATATAGCAAAATATATCGAGATATATTTTTTGATCCATATCGCCCAGCCCTAATATAGCCCAAATGTGAAAACAGGAAATACAGCTGTGTAATCCATTTATGTCCACAAAGTAACTGTAATCCAATTACCACTCATTTAAACAGTAACTGTAACCGAATACAGTTACTCATAATTTGTACTCTGATTACGTAACTCCAGTACATGTAATCTGTTACTCCCCAACACTGCTAACAGTGCACGTCCTAATTCTGACAACGCTTTATAATTAGAATTAGCTGTAGGTAATATTAGCAGTGTGAAAGGTCGAGTGCTCACATTAGACATATTGATTTGAGACATTTGTCTACTTTTTGTGGAATTATAGACATTTTTCACCATGGCTGGAAGTGCCGTGGTGTAGTAAACGTCACTCCCTGTTAATGATTTTCTATGCCAAAATATCTGTGTAAACTAGGGTGGCCAAATGTCCGTTTTTCCCTGGACATATTTTGCGTCCTGTCCTGGGCGTCCGGGGTTTTTTTTATAAAGTGATGCAAATGCCCGGGTTTTCAGTACCGTTCATTAAACTGAGCGTCTCGTGGCCTCTGTGACTCAAAAGGAGCGAGACACAAACAGTCGGTCAGTCTACAACATACCGAAGCACAAAAGTGCATTTAATAGTGACTTGTACAAGAAATTCTCCGATTTCCGTCTCAGTCGGGACAAGTGGGAGGTCATGTGCACAGGTTGGAGGTGAGAGTACAGTGTCCCTCGTTTATCGTGGGGGTTATGTTCTAAAAATAACCTGCGATAGGTGAAATCCACGAAGTTGTCAACTTTATATTTTACTATTATTCTATCTGTTTTAAGGCTGTAAAACCCCTTAGCACAAACTTTATACACTTTTCCTCAGACAGGACAGGTGCAACCCTTTTTACATCCTTCTTAAAACTTGTTGCTGCTGTCGTCCTTTTGTTATTTTCCTCCTTCTTTATGTAACGAACTGAAGATTCATTTATTCTGTAATGGAGCCAACAGCGCAGAGAACTGCATAGTTCCATTTTTGGAGTATGTTTTTTGGAGAATGTTTATCCTTTGTGGATCTTGTTGGTTGAAGATTTGGTGATGGGGCAGATTTATAAAGCTGCTGAAGAATATGCCAGACATATTTTTGCTATAGAAAAGCATGAACCGGGAGTTATGTTTAGCCCATATCGCTGCACTTCCAGCTGTTGTGAAAAAAGATCTACTGACCGAGTTTAATTCAAAAGGGTCGAGTCCCTGATTTTATTCTTGTAAATAAGTCATTTTATTTTTCCCTATGAGGTATTGTAAAAGCAGCTCTTTGTGACAAATCCAGCCTGCTTTATTGTGCGCTCCTCTGAGAAATAAATACTCAAATGAAATATGTGTGGAGATTAGTTTAGGCATTAGGCCTATCTCAATACAATCCCTTATTTGAACCTGTAATAATAAGAAACCAAACACTTGTCATCAGTTTCCAATAGAATTGAATCTGTCTCACACACTGTGAAAACAGCAGCATCATCTGCCAGTGTGGAGGAGAGAGTTGTGTTGTTTTACATTCAGCACTGGGTTTCTTATTTCAGTGGCAGCTAGTTTTGCTTTCAATTAAAAGGCCCATTTTTATCTATGTTATAATATTGTTTTCTCATTAAAACAATGCCTGGAGTTGTTTTGTTTCATTCACACATGTTTAACTCACACATGTTTAACACACTAACCCTGCACATTTACACTTGAATGTTTGTGTCTAACAGAAAACACTCTTGTGATGTCATGTGGTAATACAGGAAGTGCTCCACACCTTCACTAAAATTATGTGGATAATTTCAGATCTGGAATTGCCAATCTCTGCTGAAGTCAAGGTAGAAGGAGCTGTTCACTAAAACTCTCTCTATGTGACATCACAAGGTGCACTCCCAGCTCCATCAACTCTGGCTCCAATTGAAAAAAACTCTCTGTAACTGCTGCTGTGAATCCCGTCATTTTGGTCTCAAAATGTTCTCATGAACTTGCTCTACATGATCCTGGGGTATTTATTTTGCTCTTTTGTAAATAAATATAAAATATTTTCATAAATAAATTCAGCTCCAAATTAGCTCCTATAACTGCTAGCCTCGTCATAATAAAATTTTAATTGTGATCTGGCTTCCAGACTTTTTATTATTATTATTATTAGACTTAGATAAACTTTATTGAACCACAAGGGAAAATTATAATAACAAAGAGAATGTGAGAATATGAATGGGATGGAATAATACATTCTAAATAAGTAGCAGAAATAGAGACTGATGTCAAATAAAGCATAATTATATAAATGTATATGCACAAGTCAAAATAAAATATGGAAATATTAGTATTATCTCTTAAAATCAAGATGTGGAAAAAGAAATGTTAGTCAAAAGTTGAGTTGCACTAGTTTACTCAGATGGCTGTTTCTGCAGACTGTATCCAGGTCAGTGGTGACTTTAGTTGGTGTAACTGTCTTGCTCGTGGGCTCTGTGCTGCAGCTGTCTGGGATTGATCCTGACACTTCTCACATCAGCAGGCCCTGTCACATTGTGCACACGGCACCACAGCGGCTCTCACGATTGGAGGCTACAGGCTGCACCCAGACCTGCTCTTATAATGGTGCCGAGCACGCATGTGTGACTCCACTCACAACTCTACAACTCTCAGCTGGAGTTAGACAAGTGTGGGAACGACAGCACAGGCTTAATAAGAAGGACACGCTAACAGGGAACAGGGATGTGCACTAATTGTCAGAGAATTACAAAACTGAGAAGTCACGATTTCACCAGCTGATACTTTGCAGCTGACGTCATCAACATTCTCTGGGGCTCTAATGCTAACTAGAAGCATGCTCTGTCTGAGGCTCTGGTACCGCAAAAACTGGAGAGTTAAAACTTCAGGGTGAAATATTTCAGAGTTGTTTTGAACACAAAAAGTGTTATTTTAACTATTTGAAAGTTAAATGGAGGTTGGAGTTGGAGTTATTTGCCAGAGTTTACATGGTTGAAGTTAATTCAGCTTCCCCAAGTGTTAATTCAACTTCCCTTAGTGTTAATTCAACTTCCACTTGGGTTAATTCAAATTCAGCTAGTGTTCATTTAACTTCCTTTAGTGTTAATTTGGCTCCTCCCACCCACTACTTCAAACTCCTGTAAGAGAAAACCAGTTTAAAGCAGTTTTGTACATCATTTCATCTAAATTAACTCAAATAAAGTGTAAAAATAAAACACCTCTGTGTGTTCTTTACCTAAATCAGGATAACTCTACAAAGTGTTATCTGTTTACTATCAAAATATTAATATAACTCTTGATTTTGGGGTTCAACAGGAACTTTGGTCCAGTGTTAATGAACATTTCCAAAAATGTTAAATTAGTTCTAAAACAGATTGGATTCATATAAACCCTGAGAAAATGTTCAAACTGATTCAGTGAGAGTTAATTTTAACACTCCACTTTTTGCTGTGTAGACTTGAATCTGATCTTTATTTTAATGTAATCTGACATAAACAAACTGACATAATGACTCTGGTGAGATGATTTGTGCTGTTAAACGATCAAAATCAAACTCCAGCCGCCAACACACACAGACATGTAGAACACCTCCAGCACGTTGCTCTCAGCCTGAATACTGAGCTGGACTATAGATTCTATGGTGGAATTTAAAGGCCCTGGAACTGATTTCCTGAAATTGTGCCTATTCATAAAAACAAGTTTGTGGAGCCAGTTGCCAACATATACAGTTTTGTGAATTTTGTCAGTGTATCTCCAGAAGAGTTAAATAGACCCGTGCCCTCCTTCTGAAATGATATCATCAAATTCTAAAGTATAAATGCAAAGTCAGCACAGAGATGCATGCTGTTGTTGTGTGAAATTATACTTTTTCAATCAAGTAATCTCGTCAGTTCATTTTAAAGGTGCACTTTTCTGGTGGACGTTTGGGCTTTGCCCCCTGAAGATATTCTAGCGTCTTCAGAAATGTTTCATGTATCCAATTATAGGTGTCATATGCCTCCCTTGAGAAAAACAAGCCTTCTTGCTGTGTTACAGATTTGACCCGACACTTGGCCTGGTGTTTTCACCGTTTTGTCTCCATGGTGATAGATATGTTTATTGTTATACAGTGGAACAGTCCAGGCAAAGATGGAGAACTATAAGGTTATAACTTGGGACACACAGATACTAGGATTAAATATCTGCGCCAATCCATGAACATTTACTGCATCAGGAAATTGCTCTAAACCAGGGGTGCTGACACTTTTTCAGCATGTGAGCTACTTACAAAATGACCAAGTCATAATGATCTACCTAATACAAAGCCAAGCAAACTGCACTGAAACACTCTGTGCCCCTTTTTTGGACCCTCACCCACAGTTTGAGAACCCCTTCTTTAAGAGAACTTCCTCTGTCACTTTATACAAAACTGTGAAAAAAGTGAAGGAAGATTTTTAAACCTGTTTTTTAAAGTTCCAAACTGGAGTTTCATTCTTTTCTGGTTTTGCAGTGATATTTACCAGCCTCTGCACATTTACCAAACCAAACACACATCGTGACAAACACAGATGCACTTTTGTGCACTTTTGCTAGACAAACTTCAGCCAAATGTGGCAGTAGGTCTGTTCTGTAGATCCGCTCTATGCTGTAGACCTGCTTTGTGCCAACACTGGAACACAAATTTAGACTGGTTTTTGCTTCACGTTTGGTCTTGTTCTTCTAATCAGCCGCACTGTGGGAGGGGCTTGTGTTCGCTGTACGCAGGAAGGAGCGAGAGCGTGAAAAGGCGAGGGGCGGCGTGCTGACGTGAGGCAGATGGACAGGTAGGATGTTTAGGAAGTTGAACCTGCCCTGTGATGCAGACTGGTACACGAGGACACACGCTGTTGCAGACGAGCCGTGCATAGGGAGCGTGTGTGTTTGTGATGTACCGTAGAGTCTCCGCGGGTTTCAAATGAGCGCACAGGCTGCACTGAGACGCCCCACACGCTCCTGCACCCGCTACAAGTTTATTACCAACAGCAGCGGCCGTAATGAAATATGATCACACTTGTTGAGTGTCAGACCTTGAGTGAGAGACAAGACCGAGTCCAAACGCGAGTCCGAGACGAGACACGGAGAAAGTTAAATGGAGACCTTTGCGATCAACTGGTAGATCGCAATCGACGTATTGAGCACCCCTGCACTAAACTATCGGTTCTTTCCATGTTTTGGTCTATAAATTGATGCAATGACTATTTACTGTTCATAGTTGGTTCAGAAAATCTCAGAATGATTGAGCTTTTAATACAAATTTGTTCTGAAGTTGACAGATAAATAAACACATTTTGTCACGTAAGATCTTTTTTTTTTTTTTTTAACTCTCATACTCTCATACTCAAGCCATAGTCTCGGCATTGGAACTAAAAATGCTGCACTGATGCATTCCTTTTTCTAATGTTTTATTTGCATATCACTGACTTCCATGCATGATGACAGTGTTCTGCCTTCTTCTTTTCTGTGGCAGCCGCACTATCAGAACATCTATCAGATAATGAAGGGAGTGAATGCAGCTCATGGCATGTATCAATTACTTTGCATTTACAGCTTCCACAGGCCTGAGTCCGTTGTGCTGTCGTCTGCTGTAAACACATACATACAGATGTATACATGTGTGTGATAGATCTACTGTAAACACATACAGATATATGTGTGATAGATGTGTGTGTGTGTGTGTGTATGTGTGATAGATGTGATGTAAACACTTTGAGATGCGCTTGTCACAGCTTTGATAGCAGGACATTGAGCAGAAAAGCCGTACTGAAGCTCTGATGCATGGAGCTGTGCCGAGTGTGAGGGACGGGCAGTGTTGGGAAGGTTCCTTCTAAAATGTATTCCCCTACAGATTACAGATTACACACCCCAAAATGTAGTTTGTAACATAATCCATTAAATTACTTAAGGTGAGTAACGTAATCTGAATACTGTGGATTACTTGATATTGTCATTCTTTTTAAAACTACATGAATGTAACAACCACATCCTGAAAATTCTTGTTTGTTCTCTTCAAATTGTCTGTTGAGCCCAAGTCTCCATGAACAGACTTTTGTTTACTGTCCTTTTAGTCCTGGTTTAGACCTGGTTTAGACCTGGTTTAGACCTGGTTTAGTCCTGGTTTAGACCTGGTTTAGACCTGGTTTAGACCTGGTTTAGTCCTGGTTTAGTCCTGGTTTAGTCCTGGTTTTAGTCCTGGTTTAGGCCAAAATGTGAAAACAGGAAAGTACTGCCGTGTAATCCATTTATTTCCACAAAGTAACTGTAATCCAATTACCACTCACAGTAACTGTAACTGAATACAGTTACTCATAATTTGTACTCTGATTACGTAACTCCGGTACATGTAATCTGTTACTCCCCAACACTGGGGACGGGGGCAGAGCAGACCTGGGACAGCAGCAGCCCCCTGACACCACCATCACCACAAAAGCATCGTCATGTGGACTCACGCTTAACTTTTGTTTTCACTGTACATGGCACTTTGATCCGAGGCAGCGCTGTGGCGCTCTTTGTTTACACTTTCCCTCCACATTTACCTGAGCAGAGGAGGAGGATTGTGGAGAATGTTTGGACACACAAGCTCCACATTTCTGGATTCCTCTTTATGCGCACACTGCAGACTGTGACTGGACTTATTCTTATGCACAACTATCTGACTTTGAAAAGGCCCCGCACTGGAGACTTGATGTGCTTGAGTGGATACAAGTAGAAACTCTGCACTCTGTTTCTTCAGCTCTTCTGTTTTATCAGTTAGACTATATCTGCAGGACCACCACCCAGCTCCACGCCGCGGTATTCTGCATAACTCACAGCTCCTCGAGGTTTAATGTATACTTATGTCAGACTGTGGGATATTGTAGGCAAAGGAACAGAGTTTGTGGAGATGTATAGTACAGAAACCTGATTTTCACCCCAGTAAAAACTTTTGGCTGTGTTACTGGTATAATATTTTAATTGTGTGTGTGTGTGTGTGTGTGTGTTTGTGCAGAGTGACCTGGCCTCCCTCTACATGAAAGCTGGACTGAAGAACATAGGCACGGTGTTCCTGATGACCGATGCTCAGGTTGCAGATGATAAATTCCTGGTGCTGGTCAATGATCTGCTGGCCTCAGGTGAGAGCACGTACACACAGATCATGTGCACACAGATCACGTACACACGGATCACGTGCACACGGAGCACGTGCGCACGGAGCACATACACACGGAACACATTCACACGGAGCACATACACACAGGACACATGCACACAGAATACATACACACAGAATACATACACACGGAGCACATACACACGGAATACATGCACACAGAGCACATACACACAGGACACATGCACACAGAATACATGCACACAGAGTACATGCACACGGAGCACGTACACACGGAGGACATACACATAGAACACATACACATATCCCATACACACAGAACACATACACACAGCTCACATACACACAGGTCACATACACACAGATCACATACACACAGGTCACATACACACAGATCACATACACACAGGTCACATACCCACAGGTCACATACACACAGATCACATACACACAGGTCACATACACACAGGTCACATACACACAGAACACATACACACAGGTCACATACACACAGATCACATACACACAGGTCACATACACACAGAACACATACACACAGGTCACATACACACAGATCACATACACACAGGTCACATACCCACAGGTCACATACACACAGAACACATACACACAGGTCACATACACACAGAGCATATAAACACTGAACTCAGACGAGGCAACAGAAAGTGTCGTATGATTTCATATCTGACATTATTTAAATTTCTAAACCATGAGATGCCAAAGCAAAGTGGCTGGGGCATGTTTAAAGGCCAAAATAAGCTAAGAGACAAATACAAAAATGTGTCGTTTCATGGTCCCATAGTGAAAAATGAAAAGTCACAGAGGGAGGCAATACATCATTTTAATGTATATAACACTTCTCACAGACATATGTCACAAATGACACTCGCTGTTTTCAGATCATTATTCATTCACTCCAGACCCAGTGGTGTAAATTACTATTGTAGCCACAGCTGCCTTGGGACAGACTGACTGAAGCGAGGCTCTCAATCTGCTCCATGAGCCCCTCTGACCACCACCATCACTCACACACACACACCACTTTTATACCAAGCAATGTGAGTGAAGTGTCTTGCCTAAGGACACAACAACAGTTTTTTGTGACTGGCGCCCTCCTGTGGCACCTGATTTTCCCAGCAGTCTCCCAAGTACTGACCAGGACCGGCTCTATTAATAATAATAATAATAATAATAATAATAATAATAATACATCCGACTTATATAGAGCTTTTTTGGACACTCAAAGATGCTTTACAAACAAATAAAAGTGACACTGTAGAAAACGGGGAATCATGGGGGGAATGGCAGTTTGAACAAGTGAGTGTTTCGATGTGATTTGAAGTGCTGAGTCCAAGTTCCTGATGGGTTGTGGGAGTAAGTTCCAGAGGGAGGGGGCAGCGGCGGCGAAGGCTCGGTACCCCAAGGTCGGGTGCTTTGTCCTGATGAGGGGAGTGAGGAGGTTGGTGTGGGCTGATCTGAGGCGGCAGGTGGGGCAGTGCATACAGAGGAGGTCGGTGAAATAGGGAGGGGCCAGGTTATGGATGGACTTGTAGGTGATGAGGAGGACCTTGTATTGGATGTGGTGTTGTACAGGAAGCCAGCCAGGACTCTGCTGAGCTTCTGAGATCTGAGGGGATCAGGCTTTGACAAGCTGGTGTGGCCACAGATTTTTAATCACAATAATTATTTTAAAATGCGTCGATATTATTATCTATGTGAATATGTGTTACACTGCCTCTGTGTTATATGGCTGTGTGTTGTATGGCCATATACATACATTTTGTTATTATTTTTTACAGAAGTGAAAAGTTATTTTGTGATCTGACTTTAGCTAAAGATTTGTTTGTGGGCCTCACTATGGATTTATATTTTATACATAAATATCAGTATCCGCAAATACCAGTTATCAGCCGCACCAGCAGGCCAAATATCAGATATCGGTACTGGCTCAAAAAATCCACATGGGCCCATCCTTATTTTAAAGTCTCCACAAAACTGAATAATTCAGGGGCAGTGGTCTGAGCAGGGACTCGCAGACTTCCCTCACCCCAGATACTGTAAAATAAAATGGAGCTGCAGTGACTTCAAAAAGGGTTTAAAGTGACATTTCAGCACTTTTGTCTCCGTTTTACACTCCATTCACCTCTGTGTTCTACTTGAACTTCAACCCCGCCATTTACAGACACATTTGGCCCTTTTGCATTAGAACAATCTGCTAAAGGTGCAACTTTTTGGTTGGGGGTCCATCACCTGCTTGTTTCTATGGAGATTTCATTGCTCTGCCTGGAATGTTCCACAATATGAAATTAAAAAGCTTTACCTTACATTAAATTACAGGAGTTTTTTTGTAGCTCAAAAAATACCTAGAAAAACAGACATTCTGACTGTGAGCGGGGTCGGCTCTCCACAGATCTGACCTGTAACTTGGTCTGGTTTGGTCTCCATGAAGATAGAAAGACTTAATGCCAGACAAAGCAATAACACCTCCATGGAGAAAAGCATTTGACGAACCCTCCAGGAGAAAAGTTACACAGTGCACCTCAGCGGAATAGGACTTCTCATTATCCGTGCTTGTTTTGAAGTGAGCGTCGTGCCACTTCCGCCTCATGGATCCTACATTTCCCAGACTCCCTCTGCACTGGCACATTCACACAGATGAATAGAGTCTGGAGGGGACGCCTAGCTGCCTTATTAAACATGAATCAGCATTATAAGGGTTATTAACACAGTAAAGCGTGTGCAAATGCAATTGTTCTCCACTTAATGTACCAGATATTAGACTGCCAGATTATTCGGAGAGTGCACTTGCTGAACTGAGCGCCACAGAGCCCAACATTTCTCAGAAGTAATTGAAATGTGTAATATTGTCTTGAGATCATCTTTCGGAAGATTATGGAAATGTTCATAAAGTTGAGTTTTCAAAAACGCTATACTCCAATACAACATTTTCTTAGAGAGGCAGTAATATGCAAAATCGATTTATTTATTTTTTTTTAAATCTTTCTACATGTAATAATCATGTTGTTGCCTAATCAAAAACATGCCTGAGGTCTCAGATGCATGCATGCATGCTTGAGTATTTTAGAGTTATCTCCAGGGCCGGTTAGCTGTGAAATTCTGTCCAATGCTCCGCCCACAAGTTGTGATAGCACTGTGAAGGGGAAGCAAAGGGACGGAGGACTCACAGGACTCATATAAAACATGTTAATACATTGACTTTGGTGAATATAGCATTTTCAAAACAATAGAAGGTAATCTAAGTATGTTATGTGTGATAATTCCCCAAATACCCCACAAAAGTGTAAAACCCATCTTTTAAAAGACACAGAAGTTGTTGGCTGCTTTTGTGGCAACCTGGCTCACACACTAAGCAGTTTTTAAATTGTTTTGTTTTTTGAGCTCAGTTTTTAACATCATATCATGGAATTTTAGCCAAAGAAAAAGTGCAGCATGTGCAGTTCAAAGGACACAAATAAGGGACAGTTATGGCAAATGATCTTCCAGAAGAAATACTTTGAGGGAATGAACCATTTCATAACCAACTGAAACACCAGAGTGGAGTAAGAACGGGGTCTTTCCTGTTGTGTTCACCTGGTTCCTCCTGGACTCTGCTGTGATGCAGCAGGACACAGAGGAGGGACACTTTTGGCTCTTCACAGGATCTGCTGACCCTCCCTGACCAGTGCTCCTGTTAAACTGACCCGTGACCTTTGACGGGGACACTGTATAGTTTTACTCTATGATGCCCATGGATCATGGGTTATATTTTGGACATTTTACATTACAATACTGATCTAAAACAACTAAATGATACTGGTCCACTGACTTCCAAGTTGGAAAGTAGCAGAGGCCAGGAGCAGCTGATTCCCACCTGCTCTTTAGGACACATCTTTAGTGTACGTCGACATAAACATCCTCACAACACAGTGCTGTGTGACGGCCCCTGGTGTGGAGAGCTGCACATCACACTAATGAGCTGAATCCTCTGTGTATCACCTTAAAAAAAAGGGCAAGCAAATAAGTAACGAACAGTGGGCGCCCACCGTGTCGGTGAAAACTAGGGTAGATTGGATCTATGACATCTTGAATACAGGAGAATAAAGATTACTCAAATGTGAATTGCTCAAGTAGAACTGAGAGTGGGTAAATGAGAAGGGAAAACAATTAGAGCATGGTTACACTCTGAAAAGTTAATTTTGCTCTCCTTCAAAATCTGAGTCACGCAACAATGATCAGATATAAATAAAATAGAAAGTCAACAGTATTCATAAGATTTCTCCTATTAATTGAAGTGAAACTTTGCAGCCTCAGTAACACCTCAGGGGTGGAATTGGACAGAGAAAATAAATTAGGCACAGATTTCTATTAAGGTGCAAAAGCGCTCTGACTCATTCCTTTCTAAGTGCAGCATTAGTGCGAGTGGAGGGAGACTGCTCCGAGTGCAGGGGAGGCACTGATGCCTGGATCATTACAAGACACGTCTGCTGCTTTGACCTGTGCTGTGGGCACTGCTCAAATATGAATATTGTACCGAGGCTATAGAAGGCTCTGTTTACTCACTCATCCAATGGGACCTCCACTCCCAGCACATGATAAAGACTATCTCAAATGAAGTTTACAGCCTATACTGCAGGGGTCTCAAACTCAAATTACCTGGGGGCCACATTAGATAAAGTCTGAGTGAGGCTGGGCCGCATTGAGTATTCGATAAATAGCGGTTGCACGGGAAAAAAGGAGAGAGAAAGAACAACACGCAACACACTTTCTTAATCTTTAATAACAGTTCAGAACATGAAAATGTATTCAGAACGTAAGTTTAAACTAATACGTCTACTCTTCTTCTTTTGCCTACTCCTTGCTGGTTGAAACCAGGCTACGCTTCATCTTGTACAGCTGAGAGATATTTGGCTTGCAGGAGGAAGCATATGAGATCCTCAGGATAGATTGAAGATGCTCATCAGTGAGCCTTGACCTGTATTAGGTGCTTTCACACCGACAGTATTTGGTGCGCACCAAACGATCCATTCGAACCAGAAGTGGTTAGCTCGGTTCGTTTGCGTTGGTGTGAAAGCGTCAATCGGACTCTGAGCCGGACCAACTCAAGTGGACCGAGACCTCAAAAAAGAGGTGGTCTTGGTTCGCTTGAATCCGCACCAAATGACCAACTTTGGTGCGGTTCTTCTGGTGTGAACGCGAACCCGGGTCCAAACCACAGACAGCAGGTCCAAACGAACTATTCTAGATGCATCATGGGAGAAACGCGTCTCCTGCCTGTAATGACGCACTGTACGACTCCAGCGCAGTAACAAATTGTTGTCCAGACACAGCCGCGATTCATTTTCAAAATATTTTACCAACAATGGCCAATACAGAGAATGTAATACACGAAGATCAGAGCAAGTACGTGTGAACATGTGGCTCCAGAGTTAGTCAAAAATGGGGGTGTGTACTTCTGTTCAGGACCTGCACAGAGGTCCCGGTGTTCCCCGTGATCATGTAGGAACCAGCATTTGTTATTTTAGGCTTTAATTAACCAAATAATTTTATGGCAATAGGCTATCGCCCATTCAATTGATTCACTTTTAATTAAAAAATGTCCTGCTTTTAGCCTAGTGTGAGAAATACAGTCGGACTAGATCCAAACCAGAGTCCCGAACCAGCAGGAGCAGCTCCGGTTCTGTCCGGGCTCAGATGACGTGGAGCGGGGAGTGAAAAGCGCTTTTCCCGGGAAGAACCAAATGCGGACACCAACTAAACTGGATTCACGTTCTGTCCGGATGCTTTGCACCACCTCGGAACCAGCCGCGGTTCTTGAGCGCGGAGGACAGGAGCAGCACAGACCTGTAGGTATATTCCACAGCGCATTCTCACTTTCCCCGCACGGAACACTGAACCCGCGCAGACGGCGGAACATACCCGCTCAGACCCAGTCATTGCGCCCTGGTCTTGCTCGCCACCGTCTGGAACCAGCACATGGAGGACAGAGCCTCCGGACCATTTGACCAATGCGCTTGTAGGACGACAGAAGACCAAGGACCAGACTCCAGCGAGGAGCTGCGCGCTACTGTGAACGCTGTTGGCTGCTGCTGTTACCCGAACTCTGGGCTGATGCGGTGAGTTTGTAGAAAGTTCTACGTTGCTGTTTTATGAGTTCATGGTGATAAGATGAGGACGCCCGCGGTATTAACAGGGAACATCAGTATTGGTTACTGGAGATATCACTGTTCTACCGGGATACAGAGGCTCGTTAATCGGACCAGTTTTGGTTCGTTTGCCGGTGTGAAAGCGGACCACACTGGAGTGTATCTGCTTCTCGTATGTCAAACATGGATGGAAGACGCTTATTTTTGCCTCGTACTTTTTGATAACATGTCGCCAAGCCTCTGGAATAGATCACTGCAGTTTTGTGGTGCTTGCATATTGATGGGACAGCTGTGTTTGCCGCTGAGTGCGCGTGGATTTCGGCGACTCACAGGTGGAGCTTGGTCATCGGGTTGCCAGCAAGTTACGCACCGAGTATTGAGCAGGTAAACAGACTGTCAATGTCTTTTTATTTCTTATTAGCCCCTCCAGTAAAGGTCCCATACTTATGAACAGGGGGATTCTGTCAGTGCCTCCTCTGCGCTCTGATGCTGTGGTTGTGGGAGCGTAAAGTGAAGTGAGCACACGTGTACCACCATGTGTGGTTTGTTTTGGTTCTTCGGTGACGCCGTATGTGCGCGTGTACTTGTATTAACAGATCCACTTAGACTCTTTGCTTCACAACTGCTGTAAATTGAGTTTTGGGATGTAAACTGCGTTAATAATCTGTTGTGAATCTGCATGGGCACCGATTGCAGCTTCATCTGTCAGTGCGGCCCGCGGTAGAGGGGTGGGATTGTGCGTACATCTACCGCGGGCCGCACTGACATTATTCTTTGGAATCAAGTGGAGGGCCGCAAAAAATCCTTCCGCGGGCCGCAGTTGGCCCCCGGGCCGCGAGTCTGAGACCCCTGCTATACTGTATTTGCAATGCATGAGACTTTGGCTCTTTAACTGGCTGTAGCTGAAGTCAGAGCGTAGAACTTCCCTTTGCTCTCAACAACAATACAGTAAAGCAAACCACAAAGCGGTCCACAATCCAACGGAAACAGAATCTCCAAGTGGCTTCACATTTTAGAGGCAGTAATATTGTGATAGAGACGCATTACCTTTGCCCTTCTGTGATTCCTGTACAAATTAAAGAGACGAGTGTGTATGTGTGACAAATGTCCAGTTTAAAGAGACATGCCTCTATGTGATGACTGCACTATTTAAAGTTGCGTGTGTGTGTTATAATTGTCCAGTTTAAAAGACCATGCATGTGTGTGTTATGACCGCACAGTTTAAAGGGGCGTGTGTGTGTGTGTGTGTGTTGCAGGGGAGATTCCAGACCTGTTTGCAGATGATGAGCTGGAGAACATCGTGTCCACAGTGAGGCCGGAGGTGCGCAGCTCTGGGGCCCTGGACTCCAGGGAAAACTGCTGGAGGTTTTTCATCGAGAGGGTCCGGAGACAGCTCAAGGTCCTACGCACGCACTCGTACACACACATACGCACATGCACACAGCACCGGAGTCCCACCTTTACACACAAATATCACAGAATTACACACATTATTATTATTATTATTATTAGGGATGGGCCCAGGTCTCATGCTACAAGAGCTTGTGAGACTAAATGACTTAAGTTCTGACACTGGTGTCCCAAATGTAGTCCCAAAACCACTGCTCCAATGACAGCAGAAATATAAATACAGTAAATCAAAAATGGTGAAGCTAAAATTGGGAATTGGATCACAGAATTTATTTATAACAAATAGTGTCAAAATCTCATCTTGTCTTGTTTCTGTAGATCCAGACTCGTGTCTCATCTTGTATTATAGAAACTGTATCTCATCTTATTCAGCGCTTTTCCAGATACTCACAGTCCCTTTACTGTTTCCTGCTTTCTTCATTCTCTCCACACTCATGGTGGTAACATACTATTGTAACCACAGCTGCCCTGGGGCAGACTGACGGTAGTGAGGCTCCCAATCTCCGCCACCGGCCCCTCTGACCACCATTAACACTCACACAATGTGGGTGAAGTGTCTTGCCTAAGGGCACAACAACAGATTTTATCACTAGCACCCTACTGTGGCACCTGGCTCATTATGTCAGAGTCTATGGAACACCACAGGTGGGTAGTACTCAGGTACATTTACTTGAGTAATACTGTAGTTTTCTAGGAGCATACTTTCACTCCTCGTAATTGAAGTAACAGTACTCTTATTTGAGTGTCACTTACATCCCACTGTGAGTGACAAAAGCATTATGTTTATGTGTTTCTTGCAGCTCCTTCAGATCTAATTGAGTTTGTCTCATTTTTGTATCTGTCCGTTACATCTTTTAATGTTTTCTCCTTCAGATGACATGAACTTAAAATTATAAATCAGATGTTATGGCCTGACACTTACTCCTTAAGTTACTGTTTCTTCTGTTGTAGTTTTTTACTCCTACTTGAAGCATTTCAAGTAAAGTAACTTTCCTCTTACTTTAGCACCAGTGCCCCACAGAATCACTTTAGGAGATGTGAGGAGCTCACTGCAGTTCTGCAGCAGGGCTACATGGAGAGATGTGGTCCCACTGTAGTCGTCTCCCATCCAAGTACTGACCAGGCCAACATACATTTATCTTCTTATAAGTGAAGATCAGTTTATTTGACGTTTATATTTATATTACATAACGACACAATCACTATTCATTGCAACAGTGGCTGTAGTAAAAGAAACACAGAGCCCAGTCACAGTCCTGCTCTATCTGCAGCTGTTGGCAGGAGCTGGTCAACATTAGGAGCAGTTCTTCTGTAAACCAACTTTAGCCCAGCACATTGTGAAGAATCAAAGTGTTTACAGCGTTTCCACTTCACAAGAAAGTTTCACATGAATCACTTCAAATACTGTGTGTGGCACTTGTACAATGCTACAATAAGATTAGAACAGATAGAAAGTATAGTAGTAGTAGTAATAGCAGCAATAGGCTAGATCAGAAGACCAGGGTTCGGCTCGGAGGGAAGTGAGGTGTTTAATAAGACAACTACACAGGCTTGTAGTGCTTAGTTCTGGTATTATTTACAGTGTACGAACAGACATTATATACAATATTTACAGGTGTGCACTTTCATATGATTGAGTTCAGAGTCTATGATCGATGAATTCAAAGCGTTACAGTCCTTAGTCCAAGTGCAGATGAGCCGCAACAAAAGTTAATATAATCCACTGGGGGCACGAAAAAAGCACAGAAGAGAGTTCCAGGGATTTCTGTGGTAAGGTGGGTAATTCCCAGCAAAGTCAACAAGGGCCCAGTGCCCACAGCAGGGGGTAGTGGGTGTGCGAGTGTGTGTGGTTGTGCGGCTGCTACGCCTCCTACCGCTCCGGCAGATGCTTGCACTCTGAGTTTGGTTCAGGCTCTAGGCCTTAGCTCACCATTCAGTGTCCAGTTTCTAGAACCTGGTCTGTACAAAACAGGACCAGCAGTGAGTAATACAACCATGAAGTACAACTAAGTCACTATAAAAGAATTTTACAATATCATAACATTTTGTTATAGTAAGTCATAATCATAATATTCATCCATGTACATGTACAAGTATTTGTCAATATCAAGAGTACTCTATAGTAAAATATTTTAACAATAGGCAATATGTCATTTTAAATTACTTAAATTAACAATTTAGTAGGGTCATATAATAATCATAATTTGTTGTTAATATTACTACAAAATGTCAGTAAATTACATTGATCAAAATACATATCGCTCCTTTAAAATCGGTCATATAAATGAATGGGAATGAGTGCAGCTCGTGCCAGCACCAGCTCACAGCTCCATATAGAGTCTTTGCATTGTCACGTGACCCCTATTGCAACGGTACCTATGCCGCCATGACAGCGGGCACACTATGTCATTGACTTCAGCAGCATCGGAGAAACATGGGCAGGTTTTGTTGTGTATTTGGTTGTTCTAGACGCTCTGAAAGGGATAAAACTGATTCGTTTCTTCACTGTTTCTCTGGACATTATTCATCAGGAGCTCAAACAAGGGAATTATCGGGGAAAAAAAAGGGAATTATGGTTAGAGAACATAAACCGCGAAGAGATTTCCTATGGTATCATCAAGACACACTCACGCCACTTTCGTATTTGCTATTTAAATTGTTTCATAGCTTATTTAATGAGAGAAGCACATTTACTGAACTAAAATGTAAAAAGAAAACATTTGCAGTGTGAGTGGCAGTAGAAACTGTATCTTCCAGCGCACATATAAACATGTCACTTGTCGTAGGACACATGTTTTCTTTATTGTCTTGTTTATCCACAACTATGTCTTCTAGAATTAATCGCTTTTTGTGAGCGGATCTTTGTAACGCTCGTGAGGATCTTTTCATGGTCGATTCTTTCGAGGTTCGACTCACAGACTCTTCGACTCGTGCGTCATGTTGATCACAGGAGCCCAGTGTGGGTTCGTAAACTAGTGCGGGTTTTCCTAGATAAATTAATGAAATTTTTGTTCAGTAAATGTGCTTCTTTCATTAAATAAACTATGAAGCAATTTAAATAGCAAATACCTTGATGAATCTTCGGGTGTCTTGATGATACCATAGGAAATCTCTTTGTGGTTTATTTTTACTAGCCATAATCTTTAAGTCTTTAAGTCTTTTTTTCGATAATTCCCTTGTTTGAGCTCCTGATGAGTAATGTCCAGAGGAACAGTGAAGAAACGAATCATTTTATCCCATTCAGAGCGTCTAGAACAACTAAATACACAACAAAACCTGCCCATGTTTCTCCGATGCTGCTGAAGTCAATGGCATAGCATGTCCGGTGTCATGGCGGCGTAGGTACTGTTGCTATAGGGGTCATGTGACGGTGCAAAGCCTCTATACAGTGTATTGAATCGGAGCGCTAGCATTAGCATTAGCATTAGCATTAGCTCCGAACAACAACATACAAAGTTAGCATTCACCAAGTTCCACTTAGTTAAATCTCATAGGATCACGACAGCACTTTGTCATGAAGGCAAGAGGCATCTAGAGAGGTTGATGGCAGAACAGTTACTTTAAAGTACTTTTAGAATGAAAACAGTGACTTTTTAAAGCTTTAATCATCTACCTGCACCAGCTCAGTCACACCCAGGACCGACACAACACACGACTGAATGGAAGCACACGCGGCCATGTTTAAAGAGCCTGACGCACTAAGTCTTGAGATAGTTAAGAACAACGGTGGTCAAAATATACGGTAGAGATGGGCCAGGGACAGAAAAATACCTGGGTTACATGTGTCATCAGCAGATTCCTGCATGTGGATCCTGTTGTGTTATGTTGATTCAGCACAAATAAGGTTTTATAATGCTCTGTCATGTAACATGAGATATATGTATGCCTCTGTGCCTGATTTGTATTCTCTTGAACACGTGAAAATTAGAGCTAGTTCATTTTAAACTGTTTGCACTAGACTGGTCCGAAGTTATTCTTCACTTACTTCTGCTTTCAGGCCATCCTAATTATTCACCACAATAAGATAAAGTCCTTTTCATAACTCAGGCCAGTGTGAAGTTTTTACAACACTTAGCATCCTAATATGCACTCCCTGATTATCTGACATAAAATTCTTATAATTAGATACAGAGAGCATGCAGCAGTCTTATTCTGACCTCAAGAGCTGCCGACACAATATATCTGCACATTTTGCTCTGATAAGGTGCAGGGCACATTTAAGGGAAAGTGTTTTTCATTTAGCATTTTTATTTAATCTTATAATGTATTCTGCACACTTGACTCTTGGGAGCTTTTAACCGTGTTATAATGTTGTTACCTCCTCAAAAACAGACCTGGAGTTGTGTTTTGTTTCATTTGCACACATTTGAGTAATGCTCCATTACATCTCCAAAGTTCAAAATGCTCTGCTCCACCTTGTGATGTCATGAAGTGATGAGTTTTCAAGTTAATTTCAACAGCTCCTTTACACTTTTTAATTAATTAATTAATCACTGCATTTATATATTTATATTTCAAGACACCCAAAGCGCTTTACAGATCATTATTCATTCACTCCACACTCAGTGGTGTAAACTACTGGTGTAGCCACAGCTGCCCTGGGACAGACTGCCACAGCTGCCCTGGGACAGACTGCCACAGCTGCCCAGGGACAGACTGCCACAGCTGCCCAGGGACAGACTGCCACAGCTGCCCAGGGACAGACTGCCACAGCTGCCCAGGGACAGACTGCCACAGCTGCCCTGGGACAGACTGCCACAGCTGCCCAGGGACAGACTGAAGGATACGCTGCTGCCAATCTGCACCATCATCCCCTCCGACCACCATTATCACACACACTCCACTTTCATGCTAGGCAATGTAGGTAAATGTAGGTAGGCATGTTAAAAAAGTATCCCAGGTAATCCAGTTCAACATACAGAACTTCCGTCATATCAGGAATAACTTAACCATGAATGCTGCTAAAACTTATTTCTATTCTATGATTAT